TTTTTATGCTATACAGAGGATTAGGCATGAGCTCACTGTCCCAAGGACACCGTAGCAGAATTGTGTGGTTGAGAGTATGGATATAATAATCATAAAGCGTACTAGGAGCATGATACTGCATGCAAGTTTGGCAAAAAAGTTTTGGGCTGATGCTGTAAATACTGCAGTTTATTTGATTAACTATGGTTCATCAGTACCTTTAGAGGAAGGCTTGCCTTAAAAGACTGGATTGACAAGGAGGTAAATCAATCTTATTTAAAAGTATTTGGGTGTTCGACATATGCTTATGTTGATGCAGGGTCTAGAAGTAAGCTTGGCTCAAAATCTGTCTTGTGCACCTTCATTAGGTATGTCTTAGATGAGTTTGGGTTTAAGTTTTAAGATTATCAAAATCAGAAATTTATCAGGAGCATGAATGTTATATTCACTGAAATGGAGATGTACAAAGACAGTGTCTGAACTCAGAATCGCCCGTCAATTACTTTTGAAGAGTCCAAGTATGTTAAGATAGAAGACACCGGTGATCAGGACAGTGAAGAAAGAAGTGCTCAACTAGATGGAACACAAGAAATTTCTCAGTCATCTGCTACTAAAGTCAGGAGGTCTAGTAGAGTGATATGACCGATACCCATGTATTCTTTGTTGTTGCACTATTTGTACTTAACTGATAGTGATGAATCAAAGTGTTTTAAGAAGATCACTCAAGTTAAAGATTTAAGGGAGTGAGTGCTTGTCATGGATGAAGAATTGCAATTTTTGGAGCCAAATCAAACTTGGAGATTTGACGGTATTACCAAATGATAAAAGAGCACTAAACAACAAGTGAGTCTGCAAGCTGAAAGATAACTCAGATGCTACATGCGCTACAAGATAAGACTTGTTATAAAGGAGTTCCAGTAGAAGGAAGGAGTGGACCGCACATAAATTTTTTTCAGTGGTGGAGATGACGACCGTCAAGGTTGTGCTAAGTCTGTTAACAGAAGATACTACATGTGGAGTGGATGGATTTAAAAATAGCTTTCTTACATGGAGATCTGGTGGATGAATTATACATGGTGCAACTGTAGAGTTATGTTTTCGGGCTGCAAAAAATTTTTGTACTTTCAACTTTGGAGTTTGAATGCAATACTATCACCGAGGTTAGATGGGAGATGATTTAGCTACAGTGTTTTATGATAGAATTGGGCAAGGAGCAGAAGATTGAAAAGTTCCATAGTGATAGTAGGAGTGCAATTCATCTTGTTAAATTTGATATTTTTAATGTTAGGAAAAAACACATACAGTTGATGTATCACTTTATATATTTTTTCGTAGAAGATGGGTAGTTGTTCTTGAAGAAGATACACAACTCAGAATCCTGCAAACATGTTGACAAAGGTGGTAACCATCGAGAAACTGAAACTATGCTTGATTTCAGTTGAAGTCCATGAAGGTTGATGTCGGGAGTGAGTTATACCATGATACATGACTATGAAGATGGTACAAATGAAGATGCAAATCTGGAGGACAGGTGCTAGGTGTTATTAGTCTCCAAGCGAGATTGTTATGTTGTGGAGCCTAAAGCACCCACTCACGATAGCATCAACATAGCAGTAGCAGGAAACCATTTTGGGCGCGGAGCACCCACGCTTGGACAACATGTATGCTTCTACAAACAAAGAGCGTGGGCACGCTCTTGCAGACAGAGGGCTTGGCGTGCCAATGCCAATATGGGTGTGTCCGTGCTGGAATTCACAGTGAGCCCGTGCTGCTTTCGGGAGTGCCGACGTTGGTTCTAGGATTCATCGAGAGCAAGCGAAATAATTAAGCTGTTATGCAGTGCGATCACGCCGCCAGACGATCGGTTATTGAATCGTTCTTAAATTTGCAATTTTGAGCAATAGGAAATACTCTCATGTGCGGTTATGTCTGACAAAGTTCTCTTGAAGGAGAGAAGAGTCAAAGAGGAAGATTTTGGCGTGCATTTCTATTGTGAGATCGAGAGGAAGGGTTTGGAGTAAAGTCTTCTAAATTTCATGGATTGTAGAGAGGAAATATGAGTGAGTATTTTGTATATTTTTTATTTATTATAATGAAAATTTTTTGGTGGTGTGACTCTGTTGTTTTTTTCTTTTTTGATGTTTTTCCACATTAGTGCTCTTTTTAGAATTGTTTTGATGTGCTTCTATTTGATTTTTTTCTTGTCCTAGTTTTCTCTAATCAGTGTCATCATATTTGATGCATGCAATTGTCTGATGAATCGAATGATCAAGAATTAACGAAATTAAGTTAAATGTCGTACCCCATTTATTTCCCCTCTCTTAGTTTTTGGTTTCCCACGGTTGGGTGGTTTCGTGATTTTTTGTTATAGCAGGGCATGAGCAGAGAGGTGATGACTGTGTGTCTGAGAGCCGAATCTCTATATGGGCAATAACTAGAAATCTCACTTTCGTGCTAATTAGGACATTTATTTTCTTTCTTATGTTTCCATTTTAACATTTTGTCGTGAATGGGTACACTTCTTCATTTTTGGTAATTGTATTGGGTGATGAACTTGTGTCAAAGACTATGAACTTGGTTTGTGGGCTTCTGTATGGGCAATTAACAAGAAATCAACGAAGTAAAGGGTATAGGGGGAGGAAGAGAGGATTTCAAGTAATTTTTAGGGAGAATTCATATAGGGCGACCCCTTGGAGATAAATATTGACACATTTTTATACATGGGTTAAATTCATATCCGAGCTAATAATTTATGAATATCCTAAAAGGTTTATGAATTTCATGTTGTTTGCACTTGACGACGAGCTTGAGACGAGCTTGAAGAAACTCATTGTAGGGCTGCTTTGTCAATTCAGGTGAATAATATTGTGCTAACTTAAAATAACTTTCTATAGGTTTCTATGTGATTATGTGTTTGACACTTACATATAAACTTTTCTGCATATTGTGAATTAATACCTATATTGGCTGTATGAATGCAAACTTGATTTGTTCTTTACCATATGATTTTACTATGCTATGAATTAGAGAAATATATATATGAAATTATTGCTTGCAGGTATTAGCATACTAGAATTCATTCATGTGACATATGAAATGCCTATGATGAATATTTGTTATAGGAATTATGATTGAAGAAATATCACAAGTGATATGATATTTATGCTATTACATGAATACTTGCAAGTACGGATTGTAAGAACGATGAGATTCTCAGCTTTTGGTATTTAGGCGGTGACAAAATTCTGGAAACTGTTGGGATCAGATAGGGACAAAATGTAGGAAATCGTTGGTGCCATAACTGCTATGTGGGGGGCTAACATTTATCAATAGTTAATATAGTCTTCAGGCTAGGTGACGACTCAATGACATGGCATGACATGATAATAGTTGAGACATATAATTACAAATGACATTCCTATGATTAGAATGATGACTCTTACCAATATGCTTATGAATATATTTATGGTGAAACATGAATGAATGATTACAGGTTTTATACTGCAGTCATGATTTTCTATATTACATAACTTTTTTCTTTTTGATGGTTTATATGATTATAATATATTGTGACGTGTTGTGGACATGTACATAAGTTATATATGAGCATGTGTGTTCTATAAAATTTTATTTAGCCTTGGTTATTTTGCTAAGCTTATTGTAGCTCATTTTAAGTTGTTGACTTTTAGGAAGAGTTAAGGAGTGCCAGGGCGAACGGTCAGTTGTGACTTGCATAGATTTTGAATTTCATAGTTTTGAGAACTTGTACAGACTTTTGAGTATGTAGTTTTATTATTTAGATTTAACAGCTCTGTATAAATATATATGTTGTGGTGATGTAATTTTACATGAGTCCGAGTATATATGAATATGAATGATTTATAAAATGAATTGTATCAAGTATGTTTGTGGCGATTTAGTTAGATTAGTTTATCACCTATCGGCTCTTGATTTTGCAAGTCATGATAAGTGTTCGTGAGAATTTAGTCTGACCAAATCTTTCGCCTCTGTCACACCACACTCCAATAGACCAAAAGCAAGGGAGAAGGAATGACCAATGCTTTATAGCTAAAGATCCCGCCACATACATATCTATTAATGCAATGAATGCACATTTCCAATGGCTTAATCCTCAACCATTGTCAAATGCAGGTCCATTATTCAATCATCGGGAGAACTGCTAGAGTTGTGGCATCTCTTATTTTTTTTATGTTGATGTCCCTTTGTTATTTTTGCACTATAATATGCATCTTAATAATTTCCACCTCGAATGAGACTCCATATCATTCATCATGCCTCCTCAAACTGAAGCATTATTATACCATCAAGTGTAATACGCAAAAAGATTTTTCATGTCCAAAAAGATTATTCAACCCTCGAAACTTGTGTTGGTCACTGGCTCTTGAAACTTTTTCAAGCATACTATAACGTGACAATTGATTTTAACTGAGCATTTGATTTAGTACCACATCTTAAGTTGAGTAGTTTATTAAGGACCTAAATTAAGATCAGAACACTAATTAATAGATACTATTAACCTAAAAGCTTTTATCAAAGGCCACTGCTTTCAAAATGGGATTATTTTCATTCTTATGCATATCTCATCCATCAAGAAATGGTATTCCTTCATTTTTTTTTTGTTTTCTCTTAAACAACAGTTTTTTAACACTATCAAGTCTTATACATCAAGTGCTCATCCTACCACATTGAGCATTTGTGGGAGACGCATGTTGAAGGTGACTAACCCATGAGATCAATTAAACCACCTGAATGACTTTATCCCAACCAACCCTCAGCTTTGAGGATGGCAATTTGGTAGGAGGGTGAGACATTCAGGCCTAAGGCTACTAGAAGATGGACACTTTAGATAAAATCTTAGCTAATGTATATGACACTATTACTGGTATATTAGGATCTCAACTCTTTTTTTCACTTTTTTTTGTGGGCTATTTTGTTCTATTTTAACAATTATGACTTAAAAATCTAGACCAACAATCTAACAATCTTTTTTCTTTTCTTAGGTAGCAAGTATTGTGGGGTCCAGCATTCAACCTTTTCATAACCTTAGTGTTTTGGTAAGTTTGTTTTGGGGAAAAATTTTGATGCTTATTTGATTAGTTGTTGCAATATTCCCCGATCTAACTATTTGAGATGGTGATGCCAGAATTATATCGAGGGGAAGCTTAATGCTAAGGAGAAAGTTGCTTGGGCTCAGTATCATATCAATAATGGCCTTGAAGGTTAGTCTTTGCACAGATTGATAGATATTTTCTCTCATGAATGATATGAATCATCTTCATTGTTGAACATAATTTTGGATTTCCTTAAAGGCAAGGTATTTTTATTGTAAATATCATTAGATATTGTATGTGAACACAATCAAATCACACAAACTCATCCACATCAGTTTTATTATTCAGTGGATTAGGAAATAAGTTGTTCATGATTACGTCTGAAAAAATGTGATTTATATATATATATATATATATATATACAAAAGCCCGAATGCACATTCATTGCGAAAAGGAAAAGATACAAAAAGTTTAGTGAGTGGGTGCTAAGAACCCACTCACAAGGTATGCAACTCGTACAAAATGCAAAAGTACAAGTATACCTCAAAACAAAAGCTAAAAAATAAAGGTGTTCGGAATCAAATAGAGAGATGGCATATTGTAAGGAGCGATGAATAACACGTAGCAAGTGTGACAATCACCGAGCAATAACACATAGTATATCTGGAAGTCGCTGAGGAATAAGATAACGCAATCACTGCAGAATCCCATGAAGCCTTAGGAAACAACCACCGATGACACCAAACATCGATGAAATACGCCGGAGTAACACCACCCCAAACACCGTGGTACTACAGGGAATAACACAAGCAAAACTACCCGAGTTTATGGCGCTAAGAAATAACACGACGATACTCCGAAGAATAACATGTAAAAACCCGCGGACCCAGGGAACGCAATAACACCAAAATTGCAGAATACTACCAACAATAACTTCACGAATAACACCTACAGAATGAAATAACACCAAGAGACAGCGGAATACTCCCAGGAATAACACGATGAATAACTCAGCGAATAACACCCTGGAAATGCGATAACACGAAAATTGCGAAAAACTACCAACAGTAACACACGAAACATTCAAAAATAACACCAAAAATACTACTTCCTGGAGATAATGCAGAACTCTAAACTTCACCAAAAATGCAGTGTGCTGAGGTAGGTTAATCCCTTCTCACTTCCTTAAAGTGTTTACCTCTTCCCCTCACCTTGGTGCTAGAGAGGGAGTTAAGTAAAAATGAGTATGTGGGTCGTTACCTGAGAGCAAGAAAAGGTCATCATGTATACTCCCGAGTTCTCGCATTCCTTTATTCTTCTTCTTAGATGTTTGCATCTGCCATTCCTTAGCCATTGAATGTTTCATCTGATCATCAACAAAATGTTGATCCAAAGGTTGTTGAATGGATGCATGTTGTTGCACATCATGAGCATGGTTGTTTGCAGATTGTTGCACTTATTGAGGTTGACACTCCTTCAAGATTGGAGAGCCCACAACAACAATGTTCAGAAATTCCGGATTAATATGAGTAAGATTTTCCTGCATAATTGGAAGACCTTCTTCCTTAGCACTTTGTGGAGGCTGAGTGGTGAATGATTGCCCGCGGGGCCAATTGAAACTACAACAATGACAGCAGGTGGACTAAGTGCTTCGGTTACTAGTATAGTATTGGGATCAGAGTTGCCCATTTGATGATCAAGAGTTTCATTAACCTTGCAAATTGAAGGGTTCTCAACAGGTATGCTTGGGGCCGGGTCAGGAGGTGGGGGATCTCAATAGGGGCATTATGCTTTAATGGTTTTAAATGAGGGTGTAAATAATAACAATTAGAGTTAGAATGGCCGAACATATGACAATTAGAGCAATACATAAGTAAAATGTTCAATAACAACCCTTTGACAATAGCCTTATTGTGTGAGCCTAGCCAAATTTCCTCTGGAGCAGTTAAAGTGATGTCCCTTTCAACAAACACTTTGACTTCAGAAGGAAGGGAAAGATTGAAAGTGGGAATGTCCATTTTGAAAGGTTTACCATAAATCGTTGCAATAGAGTACAACACTTGTTTGCTAAAATAATGGAATTTCAGACTAGTGAGGCGAATTCAGACCAGAATGTTTAATGGTTCAGTCTGTGGGTTGAAATTTATGGTCCATTTCAAAATCTTCATAGCGCGGTTATAAATCCAAACGAATCGTCTCACAAATAAGTTTGTGTAATCCTCTTCATTGTTAAGTTGAATAAGGACGTGCTGCTCATCTAATAATCCAATTTTTCACTCCCTAATAAGGTGCATTGGCTCAAATTTCTTGCGAATAATCTCAATTTTGGGATGGCTATAAAGAAATTTTCCGACCAAATTCAAACGATAAGAGGAAGCAAACAAATTACATTCAGCTTCGGTAAAGTGGATGACCGACTGCACATTTTTCTTACCAGCTTTCTTAATGAAACTAAACTCGCCACCCTCCGACAGAGCAAAAGAAAACGGGAACAAACAGGATTTAGGAGTACCCGAAGCACGAACACCATCAAAGGGTTGCAACATAGGAGCGGTCCAAAGCCATTGCCGATGCACGGAGATGCAGGAAAGGGAAACTGCACAGAGCGCCATGGAGGTGCCAACAAAGGGAAAAACCCTAGCGGAGCATCGAGCTTCAACAACATTATATATATATATATATATATAGATATGTTAAAAAGAAATCGATATTTGACAGTCCCAAATATCGATTTTCCATGTGCTTATTGGCCCCATGATGAGAGCCCGCGCCATGTGCCTAAAGTTCCAAAGCCTTAGCGCCGTGGTGGGATCAAACCCTTGACCAGAGGGGACTTACAGCGACCCCGC